GAGAATCTAGACATTTTCGTTCCCGAGTCATAGAAAACTTATTTGCATCGGTAAACGAATTGCAGGTAGGATTTTTCTGCATTGCTAACAAAATAGTAACTCGCCCTTACCTCTACTCCTACCATTAGAAGCAAAAGGAGAATTTCTCAAAACGTGCGTATAGTGAAGCTACATTTACGTCCAGCAGCAAAGCAAAAGAAGAAACAAACGCGATTATAGGTACATTCGCAATACAAACGTATTGTGGACGTGACAACACGTATCGTGACCGCACCACTCTTAGCGACCGTGAAGGTCGTCAACGCAGCTACTCCAATGAATAAGTGGCACAGAAACTCTGTAAGGTACAGCAGACGTCATTATCGAAGGCTGGCAAGAAGCAATTGAAGAGCAAAAATGTCCAAGATGTGCCAATGATAAATGTGCAATTTTAGTTAATGCAAGTTTTCACGATCATGTGAACGACAGAGTCGGACTTCGCAAAAATTCAATGTTACATCGAATGTTGACAAAAATAAGTGTTGGGTAATGATAGTGGGGGGGGGCGCAGGTCGTCTCGGCGAAGGAAGGCGCCGGCTGCGAAAGCATCATCCCTCCTTTGCCGCGCCACCTCATGGCTGGGAGCCGTACTAAAAAACAAAAAATATGCGGGGCGTAACGCTCGTTTCTTCACAGACGTAAATCTCACGGTTTACATTTTACATTTACCCTATATAATCAAGACAATGCGTGATTATCTGTATCATAATTCCTGCATTACAGCGATTGTGTCATAAATATGTATTAATATTCCTTATTGTAATATGTTAGTTACATAGTTCTGTCACCAAGTTGTGTAAACCTACATGCAGAAATAATAAAGCAATCTATCTTTAAAGACTGAACAACTCGGGTTTTTGTGTTTTAGTATGTGATTACTTATGGTCACAGGATACCCTGACAAAAAGTATTTTTTCGATAATACCGCCTTATTAGCAACAAAAAATTAATCATCAATTGTGTCGCTAGTCGCGTCTTCAGGTGTTATGGAAACTGCCGGTACATATCGCTAAGTGTTGCAAATTGAGGTTAGGGTACGGATAGTTGAAGTGAGTTTAGGATTTGAAAATACGGCAACACAAGTTGGTCTTTTCTAAATTGAATTCAATTGACTTCGTGTAGCGGCTGGAGGAAAATAATTTCAACAATAAGTGTTCCTTCTTATTTTCCACTTTGTGACATCCGTCCCCCACCCCCAATTTGGTCAGCAACTCCTCGCGCATTGGTGTTTGGCGGGTACACGTTCTCAGCTCCGCGCGCGCTCGCGTTGCGCCGGCCGACCGACTCGCTGTAATCTTCACAGCGCGTTGCACGCACAATGTGCCCGTAAAAGCAACAGGAAAGCAGGAAAGCTCTCTGCGAGATGAAAGCGCGCCGTTTCATTCCACCACCACCACCGCCGCCGCCGCCGTCTCCGCCCCTGACGCAATCCATTTCAAAAGCAATTGTACTTACTCTTCAGCCGCGGACCGTGATAAAACCACAGTCCACAAGTTAACTGTCGAGGTAATAGCTCGACCCAGATGCACTTTTCGCGTAGCGACGAGCTGAACTGTCGCCTCGTGGGCTGATTCGTGGGGGAAGAGACACGAGGACGCGGCTGCAAAGCTAATGGCAGATGCGGACGCCGCGGTGTTACCAAGAACGTTGCGCAAATTTCCGCCTAGTACAAATACGCATCTTCTATATAACTAAATTGACGTCTTGGTTCGAAGATAGCGAATGCGGCTAATAAACAATCGGACGAGCGAAGCAGTTTAATTATGTAGTAATGACGTAACGAGTGGATGCTCAGTTCGAGGTGAATCTTGTGAGTGTAAAGGATATATTCAGGAACAATGAAAAAAAAAATAAAAATAAAAATAAAAAAATAAAAAAAAAGGGAATTGTGTTTCGAATTGGAAGGAGAATTAACAAAATGGAGTTCAAATATGACTGTAGAGTCACCACAACCTATACGGCAACTAAGAAGGGCAAAATCTAATACATTTCAATACGGAGATGCGATGGCTAGGGTTGATAATGGCTATTCTTTGGAATGAAATAATTATATGTGTCGTCTTTGCCAACAATATTATTTATTAAAAAAACAGCTTTCGATGGCTTAGCCATCATCATCAGTTTTCTGCTGTATAGAAGCCGCAAAAATTTCTACATGACGACGCATATAATTATTTCATTAGAAATGCCAACGATAAGTCACCACAATACCTATATTTTTTGGAAGTCATTACGTGGATCATTGTAAAAGCGAGTATTTCCCCCCTACACTAACTTATGTTTGTTCGGATTCTCTAAAAGAAAGCTGGCTGCATACACTATTTGTCTAATGGTTCCACCAGTTGACTTGTGAAAATTCCGGAAAACCAGATAAATCCTCATTATTAATATTGGAATATTATTGACATATTATTATATAATATTGACATATATAATATATCCTATCGGCCATCCCCTACCTTCACTTCTTAATAAATAACAGGACTGGATACACCACCGGTGGCAGAGGAAGTTCTCACAAAACCGATCACTTCCGTCCGGGTCGGCAAGATCTCTTAGTAGCGCCTTCATGAGGGCCGCGCGGGAGACGTTACGTCTGACACAACGTCCATACAAGACACTTGCTTGATAGCTTAGGGTAGGGAAGTCAAGTTCTCCTACTAGTGGCAGTGGCACGCTTGGTGGCGTGCCTCGAGCATCTCAGCGCAACTAGCGTCGGGAAAGAAAACTATCAGTAGTAACCCCGCCGTTTTTCTACAAAGATGGCGTACAAGCAAAAATATAAATAAAAATAAAAGTAAAGTATAAATACACAATAGCAACAAATGCTTCTAAATTAATTTATGTAAATCCCGCCTGACCGTATTTCATGCGAAAAGCGTACAGGGAGGCTTTTACAGCGTACTACTCTCTTGTGACGAGGAGATCAACTGTTCGGAGGGGTGATTTCGTCCTGCTACCTGTGCCGCGGACTACTGCTGGAGGCAGCGACCTTGATATCACTGGGTTAGGAGCTTCTTTCCTCGCCATGATATCGAAGATAGGCACCCGCGTGGCAGGGTTGCAAAGGGAACAGTTACATATTTAGGGAGTTTGGGCACGTCATGGCGGACATCATTATCGATCTTCTGCGCATGATCAGATGAACTAACGTTACGCAAAACTTGAACTGTTCGAGCGCAGAACAGCGATAGTGCTTTAAGTTTTAATAGTGCTTTAAGCGATAGTTCGAGGGTACAGAAACCCCATATTTGCATTTGTAGCAGTTTCAGCACGGCACGCTGCAATTAAAGGCGGGCCAAAACGGAAAAGATTTTCGACGCAGTTGAACATTCGTTCTTTTTCTACGGAGAGATGCTTTCCAGGCGGCCTACCCGAGCTTCTTTGGCGAAGTCCTCTTCTCTGGCGCGAAGCGACGCGATGCTTTTAGGCCAATGAGGGGCGCCCTTCCGGCCTCTCCGCGCGTGAACCGACCCCCCACACACACACACACACGGCCACCCCCCTCTCTGTCCTCCAATCGCCGTTCTGTCCTCAACCCCAGCCCGACTCCAAGTCCCCTCGCGTCCACTGCCGTTTATACTAGTGATGCGATATCGTCAACAGAACGTCGATGTTATCACATAGCGATGTTCAAAGCTGAAACATCAACGCTAATAATACATCGACTAAAAACCAACGAAGTTTTTATACATCGATGTTTGAAAGTTGGTTCAGTATTCTCTAACATTAAATTCGTGTGCAACAAAATTTAATTTGACTTTAGCAGGTGCATATTAATTTATAATTAAAATTTAAATGAATACCATGTTAAAACACCTCCCATGTGCGAAATACGAAGGACATACCTGAGTACAAGGTTTATCTCCAGCGAGAGATTTGCTTGCTCGATGAAGGAAACCTTAATTTGGTTCGGACCCACAACAGACAGTGGTACCAGCACGTATTTCGTATTTTAACGTGCACACAATTGTTATTATGGAAATTTTTCGCCCACGAATAAAACATCGATATTTTTATAGGTAGTCAGGGGATATCCCACATCAGGGTAGTACCAGCAGAGTACGCGTCGCTCCCTTAGTCCCTAAGGTCTCGACAGATTCGAGAAAACATCGACAACGACGTCGCATTCCTACTTTCTACCCCCTCTCCCTTATCGCTTAGGGCGCCTTTCCACGCCGCCACGGCAGCGCGCGCCCGTCAAGCGGCAGGACTTTTCGCCGACCCTCCGGCGACGTCGAACCAAGGGACCGCAGCAGGTAAAACGCAGCGACCGGCGGCCGCAGTGGGAAGGCTACCATTTAAAGCTGTGCTCTGCCAGTGGTGGCGCGCACGCCCTCCTCCGCTTCGCGTGGCGAGAGTCTTGACAGAAGTGCGCTGCCGTCGCGACGTGGGAAGGCGCCCTTAACCACAAGTGCCCAATTCACACCTCCCCTTCTCCTTCTGCCGCCTCCGCGTGGATTGCTCCTCCGACCCCACCGCCGCCGGCACAGGCGCGACCGAATTCTCTACGCCGCCCCCACTCGGCCACTGCTTCTCCTCGCATTTCTCGTTCAGTCTCCCTCCACCGCCGCTCAACTGTGCCCTGCCCACAGCACTCCACATCAGGTCCTCGCCCTTCCTCTCCCCGCAACTCTGGGCTGCCCCGCCGTCTCCTCACATCATCGATGACTTGGCCACACCGCCTCCTAAATTTCACCGGGAGAGGTCGCTCAGCGTCTCAATTGATGTTTCTGTAGAGCCTCTGCTGGGGACGTGCTAGGCCCTTTTCAATCATTTCCGTAGGGAAAACTTGCGTCCTTTAAAATAATGAGGTTCCTCGCGAGACATGTAGTGCTCGAAATGGATGCTTCTTCCTTGTGTAATACGAATAAATGAAACGCCGAATAGCCTCTCACTGAAAGACAATGTCTGTCACAGTTTTCTTCCGAGGACGCTGTTTCTATCTTTGATGGCTTTCTTCACTCTTCTCTTCTTTGCCAATTGAAACTACGCAATCTTGTATAATTCTTAATGTGACAAAGAACCACTTGTGTTAGGAAGCTATGAAGGTCCGCCTTGTTTCTTGAAATTTTCGCACAAGGAACACACGAATGCCCGAGTTTGATTCCAGCGGGACATACTGAAGAACTTCGCTTCTTCCGTTTCATTTCAGCCTTGTGACTTATGCCACTCTGAAAAACAATAAAAGCACACAAGCAAAAAGACGAAATATACAAATCACAACTACAGTACAGACTACAAGAATTTACTTGAACGAAAATATTTCTGCTCTTTTACCATTCCGAAATTTCCTCGCCTTCTCTACAAAGTTTTCCACGCGTTCTAGGAACGTATGATCTCAGAAATGGAGGATAGTCTCAGTACTTTACAGAAGTATACACCCTGAGCTCTCGCCAAGCTGTGTGATTGTACGAGTTTCCTCTTTGAATGAATTCCTGACAAGATAAGCTTCGTTGTAAACCGTACTGATTCGTTTACAATCTATATAATCTGGTCTCCGTTTCCTTCCTAGCTTCCAATCTATATAATCTATATCCGGTTCCCGTTTCATTCGGGTCAGAGGTTGAGCGCGGCGCCCCACGCTTTTAACCCAATCGAGCCCTTCACCGTGCACGCGGTGAAGTTTAAAATTCATCGGCAACGCGGGGCGGCGGACGCTGACGTAACTGACACCCGATTGGCCCAGCGCACGCCGCCGCAATGGAAACGCACAAACGCCGCCCAGCTGCCCATACACCCTTTCATCTCCCGCAGTTTACTAACGAACGTGTTTGTATGAAAAAAACGGGGGGGGGAGTGGATATCAGATTGAACTGTTTCCTGATTAAAAGAATTGTGTGTGCAGTTATGTAATAAACGTCCACGAGACTACAACAAACTGTTTGTGGCGTTTTTCATTGATTGCCTCTATCACGAAAACAGGAATCTATTGGCTGCAAACAAGTACATTTCTCAGAGGCATTGCAGGTCCGGTTCTGTGCGTGAGTAAACACTCCAAAATTCTGAAGTACTGAGAATTTAAAAAAAACAACATATAATTTAAGACAAAATTTAATAATTTGATTATGCTACAGAAATTACTTTTCTTTTTTAATACTAGCTAATCAGTTCTTAACAGTACAACAAAGGCTTGCGGCTTCCTTGCGTCAAAATTCACATCAGATGATTGTATCGTAAGAACATTTATGCACTCACCACTGTTCTTGTCCTACCGTCCTCGTAAAGGTACAATTGTGAAGCAGCAACTCACCTGCAAAGAGAAAGCACTTGATTTAGCTACAAACTCCAGCCATCTAACAATTAACTAAAAACACAAATGTGTGTGAAAAATGAAGCACAAGGGTTCGGAATTGTGGCTCAGGCCTACCTTACCTACAATACTACCTTAGCGACTGCTAAATTTAACACTTGAACAATAATATCAAGTTTTAAATAAAGTATTTTGAGTACACAGGATCAGATTTAACACAGTAAATAATATTTTGCATTATTGTAGGACACTATTTTCAAGTAACATTTGTAACGAACTAAGAGGTGGATGAACTGCCGTCTCCCTCCTACGGCACGACTGAGAAATGCAAAGGAAACGCGTCTCGGAGCCGCAACAGCCAACAGAACGACCTAGCGAAATCAAATAGTACAACCACTTTCTAGTACGCCTTGCTTTTCTGTTATGTTATGTTATGTTATGTTATGTGAAAGAAATAACACTATTACTACGAAAAAATGCAAAAGTAAATCGTAGCCGAGCGAATATCATTATTAAAATTGCATGTGTGAGAACCAGAACGATATAAGTGACATTTTGTAAATGCCGAAAAAAATGTTTTTATTTTAGGCTACACATTCCAGTAGCAATGTATTTTCGTAGTATTAATGAACAATTGGAACGCCGTGGTTTTAATGATGAAACAAAGCACCACGACTTTACAGTGATTTTGACTTAAACAATGTCAGAATTTATGAAATGTCACTAACACCGTTCTGGTTTTCACCCATTCAATTATTACAATTAATTTCAAGTACACAAATGCAAATATGGGGTGGAGCATTTCTACAAGACGCTAAGCTTGGAATAAAGACCTTTAGTTTATGACAAAAATTTAACCAGTATCTCTACAGTTCACGAAAATCTGGTTTCAAGGTTCTAAAACACATCCGACTTGTGCACGATAATAGTAAGCTGCGCGTCTTGCGGATGTCATCTTCCGGCTATATTTTAATAATTCAATACTAAATACGGGTGATACGCAACACAAATTCAGTCACTCCATTCCGAAATCGTGTTAAAGGAACCCGTCGTTTTCTTTAACGGCTCAGAAGTTCCGCCGGAAGACGAACAGCCCCAATGAAAATAATAAATGAAATTGCGATAAGGGAAAATTATTAGCTCAGAAATAGAGATATTGCACTGACGCATTAAGCACAAAAACAAGGCAAGGAAACCCGCCGGAAAGTTGCAATGGCACCGCGCCGCACCTGGGGTTATCGCGTCCGTCAACCTCGCTTCCAGGAACGTGGCGGGCACGTAGAACGTGGAACCTGGTGGGCACGGTTCGCGTCCCGACGAAGCTACTGCAGGCGGCCCAACGGCATTACCACGCTTTATCTCCATCTACCCCGTGTAAATGCCAGCAAGTAGCCAGGCGAGACTTCGCCTTGCCTCCCCCGAATCCTTATCTGAATTCTTTGTTTAACAAGTTACATGTTACGTATGTCACATACAATTGAAATTGTCGTTCGTACAATGTGCAACTCACGACTTAAAGCAAGTACTAGAACCGCGACTGCGTCGTTTTTATCAAGCAGGAAAAGCGGGAATGAACACAGCACTGAGCTGTAGAAAATGCCTAAACGAGCGAAACTGCAACAGTCGTGTACTTTATTCAGCTACGGTAACAGTTCATGGCAGGTCATTTTCAAACTGGAAAAGAAGGCTGTTGCGTAAGTGAGAAAGCAGACAGAGGTGTAGGGAATTTGTGAAATAAGGCCTATATAGATTTAAGTTGACAATGTATGGATATAAATTTTGTTGTAGCGGACCAATAAAATAAGGTTAATTAATTTCACGATATACCTGGTCCAACAGCCATATTACATTCATGATTCTTGTCCTTGATAGTGAAGTGGGAGTACAAGCATGTGAACAATCTACGTGAGTAAATTAGTACAGTCATGGCCTAGAATGGGTACAAAGAAAAATCCAGTCCACGCATATTTTCTCACACTTTACGAGTTTCAAAATACAACTGTATAACATTCAGTTGCTGTGAGGCCGTGAAATACATAATATACCATTCTAAAGTGACGTCACAGACCAGGAGGACTTCGACACGAGTCGAGCAAGCGTCAGCTAGGTCGAATTCAGTCGCTGTCGGGAAGAAAATTCAGTCGCTGTCGGGAGGCCGGCTGCGCTGATCGGTAGCTTCCCGTGGTTTCTCCGATCAACAGCAGGCGATTGGCGGAACAGTACCCTACACCAACACACACTTACACTAACATGCACTACACTACCACGCATGCCGGGTGGCGAGTCGGGAGCTTAGAGGTTGTCTCGGATGGGGCGGTGCCCCGCTGGTGGGAGATACCTGGTAGGGGAAAACCCCGCTAGCCTACGGTCGGTCGGCGCCAGATCTCGTCTTACCGCCATCTCCAGACGAAAAAAACACGAACTACACTTACGGGACTAATGACCTTATTAGTTGGCGCGCCCGGAATAACTAACAAGCAACCAACCATAATGCGAGTAATCAGAATGATGGCAAGAGGATGGCTGTGAATCTATCGTAACAAAACCTTCACCGGAAGGGGGCGAGGACCGCACCCCGGCCCCGGGCGGTGAAAGGCGAGCAGCCTTACCGCTGCAACCTCCGGATCCAACACGCGAAAGCGCGGGCCGCGCGGGCGGTCTCCGCGGGCGGAGGGAGATGGGCAGCGGAGGAGCCGCGCGCGGGCGGCGTCGGGGTCACCAACCGGCGCCCCACCCCTTCCACCGCTCCACCGCGCGGCCCCGCCCCGCCCCGCCCCGGCGGCGCCGTGCCGTGCCCTACCCGCGAGGCTCCGTTTGCTCCACTCCGCTCCTCCGATTCAGCGGCCGCTCCAATCCCTTACAGCTGAGACTTATGACTCAGTGATATTATTCGCGCACGTTTTCTTGACCCGTCGCTTCGCTAGTTACGAGAGGAGTGGGGAGTTTCTTTGTTGTTTTTTTTTTTCAACAAAATAAATTTTACATCAAATTTGTTGTTTATTTTTTACGCTAAATAGTTTCTATTACACGAGAACAAGATAGTTTTTATTACGCGAACATTTTTGTTTATCTTATTTTGCCTACAACGCTCGTTGCTGTCATTTATTCTTAATTTAACTAATGTTGGCGAAGGAGTGGGGGTAGGTATTCCGGAGCTCAAGAACACGTGCGTGTATAATACTAGAGTTCGAGTCCCTACTTTCGAGGAATTTCGATACTATTCTTCGATTTATGTACAGTGTCCTTTGACAGATCATCAGCAGTAACAGTGTCATTCAATTGGGAGCTTAAACGTCACTACAGTAGGTGTCATCCAAGCTCCCAACTTGATGACCCTAGAACAGCTGATTTTCCTCAACAGACCCCATGTTTAATTCCAAGTTTAGCTGTTTGGCAGGGCCGGGTTCAGCCGCTGTCTGGAGGAGAATTCGAGTGAACGGCTGGTCTTATTTCATTTCCTATAATAGCATTGTGATCAGCAACTTTATCCCCACAATCAACAAAAACAATTCAACCCGATCATAGTAGTTTGCCGTGATATCTCCGATCAATAGTAGGCGAATTCCAGAATGAAACGAATTCCATGAATTTATTCCACTGAAATATAAATTCCCCCCCCCCGCTTCAGTAAAAAAGGATAATCTTTTCGGCATGTCTTTTCTTTTACACTGTTGATAACTAATTTCACTTTGAAAAGAAAAAACAATCGCGATATCGATCATATCGATTTAACGTGTTTCGAGACGCCCTATTTCAAATAATATATTCAAAAGCTGAAGGCGAATGGAAGAAAATTGTAATTATCAAGGGAGCACAGCCATAGAGAGATTGCTAAAAGCGACCTCTTTAACAGCTATTGCTTGGCCACTGCTGGCAGTATCACTGCAAGTTACGAGCATGCACTCATTTTGTCGGTGCGTT